CGGATGTCCAAAGGTGTTTCCGCTGTCTGGGGTATGGCCACAAAAAGGCGGCATGCAAAGGCCCAGACAGAAGCAGTTCATGCTGGAAATGCGGTCAGCAGGGCCACATAGCCTCTGCATGTAAAGAAAGCCCAAGCTGCTACCTGTGCTCGGCAGGAGATGAACAGAAAAATGCCAATCACCTGCCCGGGTCGGGAGCGTGCAAGGCCTTCAGGGATGCCCTTGCTGAGGCTAAGACAAAGCTTGGGAGAATATGATTAAATTTATACAAGGCAATATGAACAGGAGTAGGGTAGCTGATGACCTGCTGGACCAATTGGTTCTTGAACAAAGAGCAGACGTTGTCATCATCAGTGAACCCTATAGAACAAAGGAAACCTGGCATGTTGACCAATCTGGCTCGTCCGCGATATGGATTGCTAACCCCAATTGCTACGTCTGGGTTAAAATGGCGCAAATCACTCTGATGAGCTGCAACCTGTCTCCACACGACACAGTCCCTGTCTTCAAGGAAAAAACTGTGCCTTAGACGGTCCCAAGCCCGGTTTGAGAAAACAGGAGGGAAGCTTTGGTATTTCCAGGGTACGGGCTTGACAACCCCGTCTACCCCAGTTAAAGGCTACCAGTCCTGAGTTGGTGGAGGCTCAACTGGAAGAAGTCTACGGCTTTCGAGAGTCATACCAAAGACTTTAAAAATGGTGCCATGGGGAACAGATGCCCCCGGAGTGTGTTCGTCGGCGAGACGAGCAAAACTGGTGACACAAGCAAGGCTTGCAAGGCTGGCAAGGCTGGCAAGGCAAACACTGGCATGGCTTACACGACTAGAAAATGGAGAAAATGGTGAAAATGCAGATAATGGTGAAAATAGTTGTAATTGGAGGAAAAGTGTGGTGGAAACCGCTGGAAATGGTGAAAAAGTTGTGCGCAAGTTGAGCAATTCGATCCGTTGCGAAAGCTGAGCGGTGTCACCGCTCCTGGATGTGGAGGGTGCCCACGAGAGAGGCGAGTAGGACGTGTGAGATGAGCAAGATGGAGCAAGATGGTGAATGTGTGTCGAGCAACATCGGTCGAAAGTTGAGCGAGTGGTCTTACCGCTCCTGGATGTGGAGGGTGCCCACGAGCGAGGCGAACGTGTGAGACGAGCAAGACGTAGTATGAATGTGGAGTGAAGTAGTCGTGTAAGTCGTTCTAGTGGGAGCTGAGTCAGTTAAGTGGGTCAGGGTGAGTTGAGCCAGTCCAGCAAATCTCGCCGGCGAGCATTACTCCGGTCTGTTCATGGGTACGGCCCCTTTGGGGAGTATCGTGGTGGCTTTGGTTTAATACCTAAATGCGGGTAGAACCAGCAATGGTTCAATGTGGAGTTGCATTCCAACCGGATGTCGTGATCCAGAGAACGTCAGAGGTTTAGGTAGCCCTCGGCCCTACCAAGGTGGTAAGTGTGTCCAGCACATACTGCCAATTGGTACTGAAGTGCTTGCAGTTCAGGGCAGTGATTAATGCAAAAATTAATCCGTTGTGCCAAATGCGGGCACCGTGGTTACAGCCGTTGTCAGGAAATCACGTAAAGCCTACATGAAATCTTCAGGGAAAAGCTCGAAGACCTTGAAGACGAATTGCGCGATATAACCGGCCACATAATTGTTGCTGGAGATTTCAACGCAAGAGGCGTGGAATGGGGTATGCCCCAAACAAACACCAGGGGAAGACTGGTCCTTAAAATGGCAGCCCGCATTGGCCTGACCATCCTCAACACCGGAACGACCCCTACATATCGAAGGCTGGGTTTTGGATACTCTATCCCTGACATAACCCTGGTCTCAGAAAGCCTTCTTCGAAGGGCTGACGGATGGAGAGTGATGGAAGACCTGAGTGGTAGCGACCACAACTACACCATTCCAAGTCACTGACATAACGCGAGGGCAAACACGCAGTATCCCTCCCAGGGTGGAACCCGTCTAGGGTCGATGTTCGCAAGTTCGATACGTCACTCCTAGCAGATTCCCAAGGTATTTCACCCACAACGGGAGAGATCCACAACAGGGAGTCTTGTACTAAGCTGGTCGAAGAAACCATGCGCTGCATTCACCGGGCATGCAAAGCCTCAATGCCACAGAGGAGAGCATGGTCAGGTAAAAAGCCTACAAAAGCGCTAAGAAAGCACTTGGGGCCGAGATACAGAAGAGTAAACGGAACTGCTGGAAAGCGCTATGTGACGAAGTGGATCGCGATCCCTGAGGCCAGGGATACAAAATAGTGATGAAAAAGTTCCATACATCATCGCAAGCGATGGATGAGGTCCGAGTTAAGAATATAGTGGATGCGCTATTTCCCACACACCCACTAAGAGCCAACACAGTGTTCGTCGAGGAGCAAGCCGAGGCACCACTGTTTTCGACAGACGAACTGAAGCTAGCCCTGCGAAGCATGAAAGCCGGCAAGGCTCCAGGCCCAGATGGCATACCAGCGGAGGCAATCAGGTTAGCAGCGGAAACGAGCCCTGATCTTCTGCTTAACATGTACAACAGCTGCCTTAGGGCCCGGGTCTTCCCAAGCCAATGGAAGAAGGCGAGACTGGTGCTCATACCCAAGGGCAAAGGGGACCCAAACTCTCCTTCATCCTTCCGGCCACTCTGCATGCAAGACACAGCAGGCAAAATGATGGAGAGTCTGCTCAAAATACGCTTGA